AACCCAGCTTTTTCCTTAAGAGGGCAACAGAGGTTTAATTTGTCGAACCCACGGAGCTTCAACAACCCCGCGGGACTTATTTACTGTCCCCTCGGAGCCTTAACAACTCCGAGGCAACTAACCTCTAGCCTCTCCCCGTCGCCGATCGCAGCCCAGACGTATCCCTATCCTAAGGACCCAGTTGTTGAGCCCACGGAGTTTAACAGCTCTGGGGGACCTGGGAACCGAGTACCACTCACGGAGATACAGCTGCTCCGTGGGAACGAATTCGTGAACCCCGCGGAGCCCGATTCACTCCGGGGTCAAGGAACCGAGTTTATTAGAGTCCTCCACCGAGAACTCAAGCAGAGCTGAGCCTAGAAAGCTGACCAGCCTACACTGCGACCACCTTGGGTGTAAGTAAATAATCTTTTCAATCAACCATTATGCCTCCGTGACTGATTCTAGCTCGAGCGTGCCATACCGCACCGCGGTATTTTCCAACCCCGTGTACCCGGGCTACCGGCCACAGCCTGTGTACACACAAAGACGGGCCCCCGGCTCGCACATGGCGACCCAGGTGGGATCGGGAGAGAGCTCGCACACGGCGATCCAGGCAGGATCGGGAGTCGGCCCGCACACCTGTATAGCCAAGGAAGTAAAAAATGTTAACATAAACAACATAGAGTACTGTACTGATTTTAGTAATCATTTACATAATTAACTAGTTGAAAACCCCTATTTTAATTTACATAAATCTACCACAGAATCCCTCATCCACCAGACCAGATTGCTGAGAATCCAGGGACTTGCTGCAGAATTAAAGTGTGGCTTGTTGCTATGTACAAGTAGACTTTGTCTTTTCCATGCTATGCAACCCAGCTATAGTTCTATTTGTCACACATAAAGAGGCAATATAAAAGGGGAGACCTGAAAGCATTTGGTGCTTACAGCTAAAATAACTTATTTTACCTATTATTGTATTTCACCTCCACTCCATTCTTAGCCCAGCTTATCATAGGCTTTGGGTTTCCAATGGCTTCACAGTGAAGTAGCACACTCAGTGTCCCACTAGCTAAGACTACTGTTTGTCCCAAATGGGTAACAACTTCTGAGGCTGAGAGTTGCTGTGCTGCTGAAATCTTCCTGAGGATAGCAGGCTTTCGATGGGGCCTTTGTAAGCCATTTGCCAGCTCTATAGATGTGGACAAGTGTGCTTCAGCAGATGATGTTCTCAAGGAGCTGGTGAATCCGGAAACGTGTTTGTGGAAAGGGTACTCTACTGAAGCTGAATTGATTCTTCTGCCCTGTGCTCTGAAGATAGAATCCTGATATTCCAAATGGCTCTTGAACATGTCATGGCCCAGCTGCACAACAAGTTGTTTTGTGTAGACATCCTTAAGCTCTTCAGGCTGCTGAGACAAATTCCTGATGATATCGTCCAAGTTTTTCTGCTCAGCAACCATGGTAAATGGAAGGCTGTATTCCTGACTCTGGTCCTCTTCTGAAGAAGCATTTCTCTCTGTGGAGTCCTGAGTTTCCCAGGTCTCCAGGTTTTCCCTAGGCCAACCTCTCTGCTCCAGGAGCTTTGAGATAAGCTCATCGTATTGGCTGCTCGGGTCAGTAAGATGCCCTCGTTTTTCGACCTTGCTTCCATTAAAGAGAATTCCATTCTGATGTTTCTCTTGTGTATGTAAGGCTTCATTTATATTGGCCTTCCTCATGGCTTCTTCCTCCCTGATCCCAGATGCTGGGGTAATGAGTTTGTTGTTCCCTCCAATTAGTTTAATCACAAAATGTTCCCGTGCTGGCCCTGCCATGCAAATGTAGGTTCCAGCATCTGAAGGCTTCAAACGGTGGATTTTCACGTACCCATATGGTGCAACAGTAACATGAACAGAGCTGATGAGTCGTTTGTTGTCCTTTTCCCAGGTGATCATTGATTTACGGAACCTTCTCACTGGGCACCGGAGGACAACAGAGGTTTTGAGCAGCAAGTAGGCGTAGCCACCCACGATAAAGTGAAGTTTCTTCTGTTTCCTTGTCTGGATGTAAACTTTCTTCATAGCCACAATATGAGGGTTTTGCTTCTGAGCTGGCCTGTTGTGCCCTAAAATATAATTAACATTATTAGTATGTGGTGCTATTAAGCAAAACAAGCAGCTTGCTTTGGCACTGGCAATAATTTCACCTATTACGTTTTATGGGAGTAACCGGTGACCAGCTGCTGAACGTTAAGTTACTGCTGTCAAAATGCAAGAAATAACAAGGTGCTATTTGGCAACACAAATGTCATTCTGCTGAGGTTAGAAGTGGAAGTCCAAGTGCCAGGGATAGGAGTGATGGAGGTGGGAAGAAATTCTGGGGAAAATTCAGTTCCTGTTGTTAAAGTATTTAAATGAAGAATGTAGCTTAATACACACAGAGAAAGGACAAAGGAAAGGAGAGTTCCCCTTGTTAAATGTTTACCACTCAAAACCTGTAAGGCACCACAACATTAGAGCTTAAAGCAGTGAGGAGGAGTGAAAGTGTTACAACCTCAGGGAATAATATTAAACAGAACAAATCTGTTTGGAGTAAATTTAAAACTCCAGGATGGATAATATTAGACTTCATTAGTTATGTAGAAGCTTCCAGATTTCTATCCAGACAATTGAACAAAAAAAACATTCCTCCCTTGGAAGCACAGAGGAAAGCTGGGAAGGTGTATTATTGGTAATGACTGTCTTGAAACATAGTATTTTGTTCTAAGCATTCAAAACCTCTGCTTCTCCTCTCCACCCCACCCTTAGAAGGATCTGGATCTGCAGTTCTGGTTCAGCCCATTGCAGAACTAGTGCCAGATTCAGTTTTACCCTTCCCTTTGCCAGACTGTCATGCTGAAATGGCATGCAGGCAAACTGCCTACTGTCATCCCTAAGGGTTTCCATGAATGAGGAAGCAGCTTTAATTTCTGCCATGAGAAGGCCCTCTGACTCTGCTGAGGGCATATGCTGAATGACTCTAATCTTCTCCCACCCTAAGCACACATCCTCCCTGCTCAGTGTTATTCGCTTCAAATGTTTCCCTTACTCCTTAATGGGTTCTTGTAACAAGGGACCCAGACTCTGTTACCTGGGGAGTAAGGGAAAGGGAGAAAATGGAACTGTGGCAGGGGACGAGGAGGATCTTGCTCCTTTAAAAAGATCCAGCAGACATAGCTGGCCATGGCTGCAGGAAGGCAGGCTAACCCATGATTGACAAGGAAAACCATGTACAGAGCTCAGTGAGTCATAAAATGGGCCATGGCTTCCAGCCATATAAGCCCAAGGCCTGAGCCAGAGCAGTCAGTCTGGTTCTGTGAGATGCTAAAAGAAGAGCTCTAGGGCAGAGAGTTACAGAGGAGCTCCTGGCAGAGGGGTGCACTGCAATTTAGTGCCTGAGAGGCATTTGAGGTTGGGAACCCTGCCAGAGTTGGAACATGGGACCTGAGCAGGCAATAACAGACCTGAGACCAAGAGGGCTACAGCATAAGCCCAAGAAAGGCTGAGAAGACCGAAGCCCATAGCCCGAGAGGGGCAGGGACCCAAAGTCCAAGAGGGTGGAAGTCAGAGCCCAAGAGGGTAAGATAAGGGCTAGAACCCAGGGGCCTGGCCTGGCCCAATGTGCCTAGGCAGAAAGGAGCCAGCTAAATCAGTGGTTTGGGTGGAACTGTAAGGAGTGGTTTTCAGAGGTGCCATTAGTGCCCAAAGGGCACCTGACTGCTTTGAGCCCTGTTAGGGGTGAGGCTCGGGACACTGGCCAGGCCCCAGAGCCCAGAGCCCTTGCAGGGTGAAGACAGAAGCCAAGGAGCCCAGCATTGCATTAGAGGGGTGAGAACCAGGGCCAGGGACTTGAAGCCCAAAAGGGACAGAAATAAATGCCTAGAACCTGTAGCTCATGGAGGGTGAACTCTGGGGCCAGGAACCCTGAGTGAGAGGCAAGGGGTAGAGACCCCAAGAGAATGAGTTGATAAAGACACCTATGAGAGGTGAAGCAAGGTCAGGGGCTTGTAGCCTGTGAGGGGCAAACTCTGGGGCCAGGGACTCTGAGTGAGAAGCCAGATGTGGAAACCCCAAGAGCTTGGATGGACAGGGCTGGGACCCAGGAACCTGGCCTGGTGCAGTGGGCTTATGCAGCAAGGGGGCAGCTAGAGGAAAGGAGCAGAGACTGGGATGGCTGTGACCCCAACAAGTATGTGAAGGCCTGGAGTGGCCAGGCATTGGCTTGAGGGCAGAATGCCCAACCTAAGTGTGAGTCAGTAACACCTGCAAGGCATGACCTGTGGGGTGGCTGTGGGTCATAAATTTAGCCCTTAAGGCATTTAGGGCTGGAGAGAGTGAATACTGAGACAGAGATAGAATGAGAGCATCTAGGCTCACTAGCCTCAGAGGGCAATTTCTCCTCATTACTTTAACAACAAGGCATGGCAGGAGAGGAGAAATGGGGTAAGACCCTTGGAAGCTGGAGCAGGAGCATGACAGGACATCAAAAAAGAGAGTGTAATAGCAACCCCAGGCACCTCACTGATTACAGTCCCCTAGAGGGGAGGACATTGTTGCTGTCTTGAGAAGGCTGTACTGTAAGGTGCAGCCTGCAGCACCGAAAAATTGTGAAATATAGATGTGGATTTGGGTCTCAGTTTTGAGTCACCCATCACCAAAATAAGAATGGTTCTAATTCAAGGGCATTGGTTCAGACCTAGCTCAAACAATAATTATTTAGATTCTCACTCCCTGCCCTCCCATACACACTTTGTCTTGTTCTTCATGGGCAGAGCATTGTAGCATGTCACACAGCAGTATTTACAAATAAGTCAATTTTCACCCCCCGCAACCCAAAAGGAAATAAAGGGCTCAGTCATTCAAGGTGACTTCATAATGGCTGGTACCATCATTAGGTAGGAAAAGCTTCTTGCTACATGAAATCCTCAGAGGTGCAGCTCCTGCCTTCTCTCCACATAGGCCAGGTACAGACTTTTACTGGTAGAAGCAATTGGAAACTGATCTATACCAGTAACAGAAGAGAAGTTCAGCATACAAAACCGGTTTATATCCATAACAGAACAGAGGTTTGGCACACAGACTAGTTTAAAAATGGCAGAACCTGGTCTAAGATTTGTGTGGCCCCTCTACCCCCACTTCCCTCCCAGCTCCCTTGGGCCTTTTGAATGTCTGTACCTAGCCAAAGATACCCACGTTTCTTGTGTACTCACTTGCACATATGGATAGTGCACAGGGCCTGACCAAAGAAGAAAAAGGCAAAGGTGGGCACAGAGAGGAATTGATGATGACAGAACCCCCAGTTTTCAGCATCTTCCTGCAAATGGCATTTCGAGTCTGGGTGCCCTTTCCACAACTCACAGAACACTAGGAGCAAAAAAAAGAAACAGAATGTGATGGAGCAAACCCCCATCCATAGATACATTAACAGTAAGTGATACTGCATCCTCCCAAAATCTCTGTAAGGGTCCTGTGGAAAAAACAGTACATGATCATGTAGAGAAATGCCCAAGTGATTTTGTACAACTGACTTTTCCTGCTCTCTCTTTATCATCATTATCTCTGGGCACCATTCACTATAGTAGAATGTGGGCAGCACGGGGATTGTCACTGCTTGTAGCTACTGTGCAGCCACACATGATGGAGGGAAAACTACTCCCTTATAGTCATGCAGAATCCATTGATTCTCACGCTCAAAAAGCAGGACAGCCCCAATCCTGGATCATGCTGCTCAATGTACGCAATTTCTTGGGAGCCAGAGTCCTTTATTAATTTCATTTATATACCATATGCCAGTGTTGCATATATGTATCCACTGGAGTGAGGTTAGGAGATAGACTGAGAAGGAGGAAAAGAGTTGAAAATGATATACCGCCTCTGTACATTCCCCGCCCCGAAAGACAGCTCCAAACAAAGGCAGAAATATAAGATTCAATATTTAAGAATGCTAACTTGAAGATATGAGTTATATGGATTTTAATGTAAATCATGTACAGTAAAAATGTTGGAGCTGCACTCCTTGTGAAGGAGGACAGATTGAGGAGTGGGAATAGAATTACCCGCTTAACTGCCAGAATGGACGTGCGCCCTGGCAGCAGATTTCATTAGAGCATCCATTTATTTGACTAGAATGTCAAGACAGATCATCACACTTGGGGTCAAAGTAGAACAGCTCCCTTTCCCAGCATGACTGGTGCCTCCTTCATGATTAAGGTATTAACTGTCTCCGTGTGTGAAGGAAGAGCAGGGGGAATTCATATAACAGGATGAGTTAACATATAGCCCTGGCAGTAAAGGACTAAATTCTGTTTTCAGTTGCAGGAGTATAAGTGAAAAGTAATTCTTTTCATGACAAATAGCCAACTTTTACTCCTGTTTTAAATACACACAGTCTTTTAATGTCAGCGAGCTTCTATGAGTACAAGAGCAGAATTTGACGAGTGAACAAACAATGTAGCAGGATCTACTGTGCCTCAAAAGGCAGGCACATCCCAGCCCTCCTGTCAAATGACCGTATCCTCTTTAAAGCCAGGCATTTTAAGGGTTGTAGTTTTTGTAGTTCAAACATGGAGAGCAAGGCTTGCTGGGAAGAAGGAGAACAAGATAAAAAGCAGCAGGTTTCTTTTCAGGGATAGGAGATAAGATGGATTTGTCAAGTTAGGTGATGTAGGGCTCTGCTTTAGAGAAGCTGCAAAAGCAGCCAACATTACTTTGTTAGGTAAGGGGCTTGGGAAGGTCCAGGATAAGAAGAAATTTTAGGGAAGTACAAGTCACTTTGGTACAGTAGAAGTTTGCTGGTGAAGTTGACACTAAGGGTTCAGGATTTAAGTGCTTGGAGAAAGCAGGAGAAAGCAGCAGTTTCAGGTTTTGAGAAGTGAAAAAGGCTTGAGGCCTGGTGCCTTAACTAATTTAGGGGCCCATGATGATGCTTCCAGAGAATGATGAAGGAGTCCATTAAGGAAATTAAGGCAAAGACTAGGTGAGCCCTACAGGAAATAATTATTGGTGTTAACCTGCCTCCACACTGGGAACCTGGACATGGCAAGGAAAGAAGCATTTAGCCTGTGGAAGAACTTTGAAACTGCCCTACATTAATGCAGGCAAAAAATTTTGGTTAGAGGGGGGGGGGAAGGGGAATAGACTCGTTCCCTACTCAGATCACTGACAGACAATAAAAAGAAGATGCAATAGGATCCCATATGTGATCCCAACAATTGAGACACAATTTTGGGATTGACCATCAGATCCCAACACACCATAGTGCAGGTGCAGTGGGAGCCTGGGATCCTGATCCCAGGCTCCTCCTTTACCATCAATCTTTGCTCCTATGGATGGGATCCTCATCAGTTGATTGGGGCTCCCAGCCTGCGGAAGACATTGTGAGAGCCCTGATCAGTTCACAAGTACTCTCAGCCGCTGAAGCACACAAGACTGTGCTCTGGAGGCTCAGACACTAGCTACACATTCAATTAAAGGAATTATAGGAACCAAACACAAAGTTATTATTACATATATTTTGTGTAATAATTTTGTCATGGAGTCCTGATATAAATGAATGAACATGTGGTCAGATCACTACTTAAGACATGGTTAGCCAATTAATCACCTGTTGTGTGTAACATGTCAGGGGACCAAGAAAAGTCTTTATGGTTTGACTGAAGGGGTTAGCCATATCAGTAGAGTTGGTTTCCAAATAGGGGGAACTGAGACAATGGTCACACAGATCATTGTGCATGGAACCAATGGAACCGAACAGTGGGAGGAAGCTGGACAACACTAACTCTTCTTTCTGTAGTTTGAAGGTATAGTTTCCACATGATTCCTATTTCATCAGAACTTTCATGATGAGGCTCCACTTCAATAACTCAAAATGAGGGATTGGACAATAAGACCTATATTCATTCATATGCATACGTCATACCTGAGTCCAGTCAGAGAGAAGCCACTCATTAGGACAGTCCTCATTTTTGCAAGCTTGATGGGAAACTGGCCTTGGAGAGGAGCAGAAGGTTTCTGGAAGCTCCAAAATACTTCCATCTGCCAGGTGCTGCTTGCAGCGCATATCTTGCTTCTGAGCACCACCTCCACAGGTCTGTGAACACTGTAGGGAGAACAAAAGAAGCTGAAGATGTGGGAAACATCAGTTTTTGCATTACGCTGGTTGTGGCCAAAGACACAAACAGTAGGGCTGTGCGAAACACCACTGTTTCGTTTTGACGTCTGTTTTGCCATTTTGAAGGGACAGTGTTTCATTTCATCATTTCATTTCATTTCGAAGCACTGTTCCATTTCATTTAATTGAAACTGTTCAGCTGTTTCGAGGCGTTTAGTCATTTTGCCCATAGGCTATAATGGAAGTCCATGAAAATGCCTAAAACTTTGTCATTTGTTGCCTGATTTGGATGAAAAATGCACAGAAGGTAGCCTGTTCTGAGGGCATGAAGCCTGCCAAGTTTCAAGGAGAAAGGTGCAGAGGTTTCTGTGAAACCTCAAATTGTTCAAAGCAAAACTTGTGACAGTTGCCGGCAGTGTTAGCATCCTGTCATCTGGTGCACAGATCCGGGGGCCCACACCCCCAGGAGGAGTTCGGCACAGCCCCACAGCCCTCCTGGGGGTGTAGGCCCCTGGATTTACATGCCAGATGAGAAGAGGCTGCCGTTGCTGCCTGGGACCTGTGCTGGGCAGCAGCAGCAGCAGCCTCCTGTCATCTGGCGCACAGATCTGGGAGCCCACACCCATGGGTGGAGTCCAGCACAGACCTGCAGCCCTCCTGGGGGTACAGGCCCCCGGATCTGCATGCCGGATGAGAAGAGGCTGCAGCCTGGGACTGGCACTGGGTGCAGCACCAGGAAGATTGCTGCTGCTGCTGGCCCCAGGCAGCAGTGGCAGCCTCCTGTCATCTGCAGCTGGAGTAATGCATCCAATTCTGGGCTGCACAATTTAAAAAGGATGTGGAGAAGCTTGAAAGAGTCCAGAGGAGAGCCACGCACATGATCAGAGGGCAGGAAAACAGGCCTTATGATGAGAGGCTGAGAGCTATGGGACTCTTCAGCCTGGAAAAGTGCAGGCCCAGGGGGAACCTGGTGGCTGCCTAAAAGTATATAAGGGATGCACATCAGGATCTGGGGGAATGCCTGTTTACCAGAGCACCCCAGGGGATGACAAGGTCAAATGGTCACAAACTCCTCCAAGACCATTTCAAGCTGGACATAAGGAAGAACTTCTTTATTGTCCAAGTCCCCAAGGCCTGGAACAGACTGCTGCCAGAGGTGTTGCAAGCACCTACTCTGGACTCCTTTAAGAGACATTTGGATGCTTATCTTGCTGGGATCCTTTGACACCAGCTGACTTCCTGCCCCTGGGGCAGGGGGCTGGACTTGATGATCTTCCAACATCCCTTCCAGCCCTGATGTCTATGAAATCTATGAACGCAACAGATCTGGGGGCTGGCACCCCCGGGAAGAGTTGGGCACAGCCCTGCAGCCCTCCTGGGGATGCAGGCCCCCAGATCTGTGTGCCAGATGAGAGGAGGCTGCTGCTGCTGCCCACGCCTAGTGCCAGTTCCAAGCAGCAGCGGCAGCCTCTTCTCATCCGGCAAATGGATTAGGGGGCCCACACTCCCGGGAGGGCTATGGGGCTGTGCCAGACTCCTCCCGGGGCTGTGGGCTCCCAGATCTGCATGCTGGATGACAGGAGGCTGCCTGGGACTGGCACTGGGTGCAGCCTCTGCCCAGCACCGGGAAGATTGCTGTTGCCTCTGGCCCCAGGCATCAGAGGCAGCCTCCTGTCATCCGGCACACAGATCTCGGGGCCCGCACACCTGGGAAGATTCAGGCACAGCCCCACAGCCCTCCCAGGGCTGTGGGCCCCTGGACATGTGCGCTGGATGACAGGAGGCTGCTGCTGCTGCCCGTGCCCAGCGCCGGTCCCAGGTGGCAGTGGCAGCCTCTTCTCATCCAGCACGCAGATCCGGGGGCCTGTGCCCCCGAGAGGAGTCTGGCACAGCTCCGCAGCTCTCCCAGGAGGCTGCCACTGCTTCCTGGGGCCAGTAGCAGCAGCAATCTTCCTGGAGCTGGGTGTGGGCTGCGCCCAGTGCCGGTCCCAGCTGGCAGTGGCAGCCTCCTCTCATCCAGCACACAGGATCAGGGTCCCACACCCCTGGAAGGGCTGCGGGGCTATGCCAGACTCCTCCCAGGTGATGCAGGCCCCCGGATCTGTGCACAGGATGACAGCAGGTTGCCACTGCCACCTGGGACCGGCACTGAAGCCAAGTAAGCCCAGCTTCGAAACTTTCAAAATGTTTCGATTGCCCTCGCTTCATTTCAAAGCTGTTTCGAAGCCTTTTGTTTCTTTTAGATTTAGCTGTTTCAAGCTCGAAACGCATTGAAACAGCTTTGAAATGAAACACCCGCCAAAACTTTGCACAGCCCTAACAAACAGCACCAGGATAGGTGCCTGCTGCTGTTTTGGCTCACTCTGCAACCATTCTTCAGTTAGCACACAAACTTACCTAGGGCTGAGTGAAAAATGTTAGGGTATATTTCATCACCCAAACATGTAGTTTCAAGGGGCATCTGAAACTCATTGTGAATTCAGGTTGAATTTGCCAAATACTTTCATACAAAACACAAGTGATAAAAAGTTTCAGAAATGTTGAACCAGTTCATTTGGAAAATGACAAAATATTTGGGGAATGCTTAAGGCAGCTAGTTTCTAAGGAAATGCTGAAACAAACTGTTTTGACATTTCTGAAACATTTAATTTTGGGGCACTGGTAATAAAAGGCCAGGGGAAAAAAAGCCTAGATTCACAGAGCTGCTAAAGGAGAAGCTACCTTCTTTGTACCTTGTTAGGAAACTCACTCAAGATGTGGAAGACTTGGGTTCAGATCCTTCATCTGTCTGACTTCCAGGCTACAGGATATACAGGGGGGAGGGACTTTCAATATCTTCCATCATCATTTAATTTGTAGCAAAAAACTTGACTATGTATGGAGTTAAACAGTGAGAGCAAGTGGAACTCCATAGTTCAGTGGTTTGGGCTCACACCTTGGAAACAATATATTCAAGTATTTGATGCAAAGACAAACAACATCCACAAAAAGACTGAGAACAATTCATTCCTAAACACCCTAACACAGTGGTTAGGACACTACTCTGGAGGTCAGATACATGGACTCAAGTTCCATCAGACTGGAAAGGGAAATAAACCCATCTTCCCCACATTACAGGCAAGTGCCCTAAAATTGGCCTATTGTGTGTCAGGACATATGACACTGTGATCTCTTCCAGAAGATTTGTCAATCTACGAATCTCTTCCCATGGTATTAGTTACACATTCTCCAAAAGTGAAAGTTTATGTTCAAATAAAATGTTTAATTAGAATTTTTGGTTCTGTTGATTTTTGCTTTGTTTTGGTGAGAAAAACTGACTTGTTTATATTCAGGCCAATCTGATCGATTCCGCCCCCCCCAAGTTTGGCTGCCAAGTGGAAAAATCAATTATTCACACAGTCCAAAAGTTAACTCCCCAACCTCAAAGCCCCAATTTTTCAATAACTACTGACTTGTTATGGTATTTCTCTGATTTTTAATTCATGGGAAAGCTACACAGGACCTATGATCTGCAGATACCCTAAACAACTGGTTTACAAGGTTAGTATAATAAACCATTAACAAACCACACAGCCCTTTGTATTTATGACTGTCAGTGACAGCAATGTGAGCAGTGTCCAAAAGGAAAGGAGGAAGGTTTATTTGAATCAATGTAAATTTGCATGATTAATTTCCAGGGAATCCACCTCCCCTCTCTTTTTAATATAAATATCCTCCTCCAAATCCATTTTCTACCCAAGCAGGACAGGAACTTTAGAACAAGCAGATTTAAGAGCTTTCCCTGACTGTCTTCTATAAACACAGTGGCTCAGCCTGATGCACTCATCACTTGGCTAGGAATGTGCTACTATTCTCTTCTAAAATCAAACCATTGCAGTTGCAGTTCTCTTAAAAACCAGACAAGAAGGAGGAACCTGCACTAGTCTGACATCAGTGGGAACAGGAAAATGAGGCTGAGACATGGAAAGTGAGTAGCAAAATGTTAGTATGCATATTCAATACTTAAACAATAAAACATTCTAGGGGTGATAGGTTTCTCTCTTCTTTCTCACTCTATCACACATACCAATACACACACATAGGTCTCCTAGAATTAGAATCTATTTTTTTCATGGAAGACAAAGTAGGAAGCACAGACCTGAACCACTTGTATAAATAGATATATTTTTCTTCAACTTTGTTTTTGTGGCTCAGCACTAAAACAGTTTTTGTCCCACAGAAGTCTGTTACAAAGCCAAAAACCTCAAGAAAAATGAAGCAAACAAACTGATACCTGAAGTTCTCAGGAGATGTAAAACAGTCTACTATTCAAGGACAAACCCATTAAGATGGGTCCGGAGAAAACAAATTGAGATACTAGCAGGCTCAGTTGAAGACTCCATTTATAGATCAGATATTAATGCTGCTATGCACTATGCGAACACATGCAAAAAAAGACCCTCACCCCAGAGAGGAACAGCTGAAGCAATCCAGGGGTATTTCTTCTTTCCTCAGGGCCCATGAAGTTTTGAGTAGTAGATGGAGAAAACAGATTTTTTTCTAAATGCTTCTCATCTGTCAGTCACATAATTTTGTTCTGGTGAAATGAATAAACTCTTCTACTTCACATCCCTAATTCAAACTGGTGAATGTGTAGCCCAGGTATACTTGGGTATATACTCCCCTTCTCCAATTGAAGGGGATTGTTAGCTGGCAGGTGTGCTGTGGGGGAACCGCAGACTGCTCAGTTTCCCTCCATCCCTATAGAACCAGGCCAGGACAGTCAGGGGACTTAACTATATACAAATTTATTTACATTAACTTATCACAAGGAAAAGAAACATGGATATAAACATGTGTACTATATATATATATATATATATATATGAGATAGCTAAACAAATAACATAAACAATACCCTCTGGGTAAATGCTATAAAACCTTATACCAGTGCTCCAGATACAGGTAAGTCACAGATAAGTATATGATCTGAAACAGATAAACCCCAA